AAAGGCGGTAAAGCTACTCGGAGTAGTTCTCGACTAAGAACTTAGATAGAGAGCGCATATCCAAAGAGTAATTAAACGAGCTACTACAACCTGCTTAGCAATAGGCAGGCTAGGGCATCTTAGACCGAAGCAACTCCGCCAGCTATACCAAGCCTACGTAGTCCCGCAGATAGACTATACCTCTACAGTCTAGCACTCCCCCAACAGGTACAAGTAGCAAATATCGGTTCTCTCCAAGGTCTAACGGCTAGCAACAATAAAGGCTATCTCTACCTTTCGTTCGGTATCGACAGAAACCCTAGATATAGAGAACTTTATTTTACCTACAAGAATACGCCTCGAATCCAGAGCAGCAAGAGTTATTACTAGTCTTAGGGGGCTACCCACCTCGCACCCTACCTACGCGTTAGTCCCTAAGATCGATAAAACCCGGAACAAACTAGCGAGCTTCTTAAGTCCGCTAAAGGCGACCCTAAAACTTAGCAGCCTAATCCCGCACTAAGAAACCGAAACGATAGATATCTACCCACCTCCTCCCTAGCAACCACTCCCGGTAGAGATTAAGACAACACTACCCCCGGATAAAGATAAGGTATTCCAAAGTCACGCGGAAAAGAGGGACCCGCTCTCCCAGGTCTACACAGATACTTCTAAGATAAACAACCAGCTAGGAGCAGCAGCAGTCATTCTAGACCAAGCCGGGAACGCCCGATACAGTACGCTTAAAGGAGTTAGATCTAGCAATTTCTACACAGTATAAGCAGCCGAACTAATTACTATTCTAACAGGGATAGAGCTAGCAGCTGAAAAACACCTATAAGAGGGACCCTATAGCCTAACCGAATACGTTATCTACAGCGACTCTAAAGCCGCCCTCCAAGCTCTAACTAGGAGATATAAAAAGAGATCAGGCTAAAGTATCGTACGGTCTATCCTCAGTACAGCCTAATCTCTCTATAAAAGTCTCTAAATAAGTTTCACGATCCAGTAGATCCCAAGCCACTACGGTATCCAAGGAAATAAGGAAGCAGACAAGCTAGCTAAACAAGCTACAACACGTCTTAGAGAACATAACTTCCTACCCTTAATACCGCTACAAGTTAAAACAACTCTCGAAGCAGCACATAAGCAATAGAATAAAGAATAGAGAGCGTTAGAGAAAGGCTAACACCTCCGCAACGTAGATACAGCGGTTCCTAGACCATACGTAAGGTACCTCTACGACAAGCTCCCACGTAACCTAGCAGGGCTGCTAGCCTAGTTGAGAACTAGCTACTGCTGGCTCAACTAGTACCGAAAACGAATAGGACGGATAAACAACGATAAATACGAATACGGGGATATAGAATCAATATCCCATATATTACTAGACTATTCACTACTCTAGGAAAATCGGCAAAAAATATATCAAGAAACCGGACTCTAGAGAAACTACCTCTCTAGCCTCCTAGGCGGTAAACCAACAGACAAGAACCAGCCGCATACGGAAAAGATAAAATAGACAATTTCGGCCGCACAACTTAAAAGGGTACTTGAATTCGCTCAACAAACAAAAAGGTTCCAGAGTAGAGACGACATCAACCAGTAAAACCCTATCTTATTCCCATTCTTCTACCTTTCCTTGTCCTATCTCTGTTCCCCTTTCTCCTTATACTCTCAGATTGAATCACCAGTGTAAATTCCTAGCGTATTCCTTTGAATAGTCTGTAGCCTGCATATCGCTCAGGGCGATGGGTCAGGGTAAATGAATTCAACTCAACTCAACTCAACTCAATCTAACGTCTCTCCCCTATAAGCGAGTTTACCGTTTAGCGAGCGCATCGATCAGATAGGCTCCTAAAAGGCAGTAATCTAGCGGTAAGTTACGTGTTTAATGTCACCGAGGGGTGTTACCTACTAAAACAAGGACGGACTTTGATTAGTGCGCTCGCTGAACGGTGAAACTCGCTTATAAATAAGAGACGTTACGGAGTTAACGGCGTGGATCCCTCGGATTTTATGGGCATAGAAATGTTAAAGCCGTATCTTTATAGCCGCAAATACGCCGATTAGTATATTATAGGCATAAGAAAGAAATATCCTTGCCGCAAACAGCACAGATTTCGAGACTTGTAACGGCAACGAGTTATGACTCGGATGCCCAGGCATGGAACGCCGAATCCCACCGCTACGAGCCTACAACATGTATATAAGAGCCGCAACCGCCGCTGAAACCAAAGCAATATACATCCCATAAGAGAGAGAGATCTTCTCGCAGTGAATTAGAGAGAATGGACACAGTTAACCAACTTCTCCAGGACGCCGTCATCAGCAACACTATTGCCGGATGTGCTTGCGTGGCTATTGATAGAGATGGTATAAACTCTGGCAACGGCTCTGTATCGTCCTACCTAAGTATTTCCGCTTACAATGTTGTCTGGCAGGTGTTTTCAAATACGCAAACGCCGTAGGGGCCCGTTCTGCTACCAAGGCTCCCTTAGAGCCTATTACCACCGAGTCAACTTTCTCCCTTATCTCCTCTACGAAAATCATGACCGCAATTGCGGCCCTCCAGCTCGTTGAGCGCGGCGCTCTAAGTCTCGATCAGGACGTCTCGGCGCTGCTTCCGGAGCTAGCCAATCAGCCCGTCCTTGCTGGACACCTCGACGCCCCAGTCCCCGTGCCGCGGCGTAATCCGCTGCTCCTACGATACCTCCTCACTCACAGTATCGGCATACCGTATCCTGGCTTCGCAGATGTGCCCGTGGGCTACGCCGTCGAGCAGTGGCGCGACCTATCACGCTATACTACGATTGCCAAGCGCTTCGGACATCCGCTGGCGTTCGAGCCGGGTGAGAGCTTCGGGTATGGCGGCGCTATGGACTGGGTGAGCAAGTTGGTTGAGCGCGTCTCGGGAGAGCCATCGCTAGACCACTACATGCGCAAGCATATCTGGGGACCGCTGGGGATCCAGGGCATTACTTTTTGGCCGAATAAACATCCGGAAATCAAATCCACTATGGTGGAAACAGTACAGAGGACTGCCGATGGCGGTTATGGACCTAGTACCGCCAGGTCGATAAATCAGGGGATTGAGGAGTGCTTCGGTGGACAAGGCGCTCATGCTAACGTGGATGACTTCCTGAAGATCCTTCACTCGCTACTTGCCGACGATGGTAAGCTCTTGAAGCCAAAAACTGTGGCTGAGATGTTCAAACCGCAGCTCACAGCGCCGGCGAAGGAAGCACTGAACAAGATGCTTCATAACCCAGAAAAAGCAGCGATGGTGCTAGGTGACTTCTCCAAACCCGCCGCTACTTATGATTGGAACTGTGGGGGTTTGATAGCTACCAACGATGGTAGTGGGAAAAGAGGAGCGACTACTTGGTATAGTATGCTCAATTTCTACTGGGTGAGTATCCGCAATTTATCTGAGAGAAATTCTCTAGCTGACTGTGATGATAGTTTATTGATGTTGAGGCGGGGCTTTGCGGTGCATTTGGTACTCAGTTGCTTCCGATGGGCGACCGAAAGGTTAATGACTTGATAATAGCCTGGAAGGATGCAATGTACGAAGGTTTATCAAAGACCAAGGAAAAAAGCCAGTACCTCTAATGGTTATATCAAGCGGTTCCAGCATCGCCGGATGATATTAACTTTTAGAGAGAGGCTAAAAGCGGAAAAGAACAACTCTCCGGTAGCAAACAATTCACACGTAGAACAATGCCAGTAGCGCTTGCATAGCAAACACATCGCTGTTACATAAGCTGAAGCAGACTTTGACAAGCAGTCAACGCAAACACAGTGGTTTGCGCCATAACTCATAGCCTTACAAACAACGAGGTAGTACGGAATTAGTTGCAATCAAGCATTAAGCGCTGTTAAAGAAGCGACTAGGATAATAGCAAATGCAAAATGCATAAAGCAATTGAGTTTTCATGTGATTACGGTCTAACAAATTATCACACAGAGTGCGGAACAGTCCAGTTCAACCAGTCGCCCCACCCAACTGTTATAGACTTCGTCTAATTAGGTACGATCCCGACCGTCCAGTAAGAGTCTAAATAGACTCTAGACAGGTCGATTAAGACTATACCAGTACGATATTTAGCTAAGGAGGAGAGCCGAACGGCAAAGTATAAGAGCCGAATAGCAAAGTATTATACCTAAATAGGTATGGCGCCGCGCGTCTACTACTCGACTTTAGCAATATCATACACTTTTACTTAATTCTACGCAATCTATATTCTAATTACGTCTAAATAGACGTATAATAGACTATACGCAACTTCCTAGGATCGTGCCTAATTTAGCGAAGTCTAACTACGGGTTGTAGGTAGACGAGACTGGGTTGGACGGTCTACCTCGGGACTGTGCTACTCCGCACTCTGTTATCACATGCTTACGCCGCATCCCCGCATCAAGCGAAACTAGTCCCACCCCATATATAAAAGAATATAGCGAGCTTCAGAATACTTGTTTCATAGCAATTTTGCAAATCTTACTTTTTGGTGCGATCTTTCGGTACAGTACTACTGCCTCGGGTTTTTCAGATCGTATCCTGCTCTCATCAACCCTCCTCTCGCTGTGCATCGTTGTTTTAATCCTCTTCGATACGGCTCCCTTACCGTTCTCACTAGTGCTACATACTTACACACTTGTGACGAACTGAAATGGCCACCCTTGATGCTTTAAAGCGGGACCTTAGGCAGAAAGCTGAGGCAACAACGTCATCACCAAAACAGGCGTTATCCAACACACAGTACAGTGACGGATTCAATAGCTTAGTAAAGGGTCCAGGATGGATAACCTATCGAGACTTCGTTATTCCACAGCTATCTCAGTTGCTATCCCCTCTCTTCAACATGCGCAGCCATGTCTCGGTACTAGAGATCGGACCCGGCCCGAAGAGTTTATTTGGCTATCTTCCCGGCGATCTAAGACGGAAGATCACGAAATACACTGCATTGGAGCCAAATGTTTTGTTTGCGGCAAGGCTAGAAGAATGGGCTCACTCTACCGTCGAGACGGAATCCCCGCTGCCTTCTCTGGAAAGCCCGCCCGTCATCCATCGAGTTCCATTTATTCTGGAAGACAAAACAAGGACCCTGACAGGAAATGACTCGAATGATAAGGATGAGAAATACGACATAATTCTATTCTGTCACAGCATGTACGGCATGAAACCCAAACACAGATTCATCGAGCAGGCGCTGCAAATGCTTGCAGAGCGGCCAAAGGGGGCGATGGCCGTGGTTTTTCATCGCGACGGGATTCTGGACCTCGACGGTTTGGTGTGCCATCAAACGGCTTCATTTCCTACCGGAATCGTTCGCGTGGAAGACAAAGACGAGGAACTGGACTGTTTTGCATCTTTCATAGCGGGATTCGCCATGCAGGATGTTAATACGGGCAAGGCTCTCCGAGCCGAGTGGCGGAAGGTGTGCCGTGCCTTAGGCCGTCGAGAGGAAACCCATCCAGATTATCTTTTGTTCAGCGCGCCTAACATCATGGCGGCATTTACTCAACATGCAGTTACATTGCCGGTGCTGGCAGCGCAAGTGCCAACAGCGCAGATGCAATTGGTGGAAGGATGCATGCCAGTCAAAAACCGAGAGGCTCGTCTCTATCGCCCTGCTTCTGTCATTAAGCCGACAACTATCCAACATGTCCAACAGTGCGTTCGATGGGCTCTGGAGCACAGCGTCGGCCTCACCGTCATTGGCGGAGGTCATAGCGGCCACTGCCTCTGGCCCAATGTTGTCTCGGTTGACATGGGCTTCTTTAATCAAGTACACATTCTCAAGTCAGAGGAGGCTGGAGAAAACTCCGGTCCCGATCCTAGTTGCTTGGTCATCGCCGAGGCCGGCTGCATAACGGGGGATGTCGTCCGTAAGGCCATGGCAGCAGGCCTTACAGTGCCTCTAGGGGCTCGTCCAAGCGTAAGTACGGGGCTGTGGCTACAAGGAGGCATCGGGCACCTAGCTAGATTACACGGACTCGCATGCGATGCTATTGTCGGTGCCGTTGTGGTCAGTGTCGAGTCCAGCCAGGTTCTCTGCGTCGGACAGGTACCAAGGCAACACCAGCCGGCCGGTGCCGTTCGCCCGGAAAATGAACATGATTTGTTATGGGCGATAAAAGGCGCGGGAACCAATTTTGGTATCGTGGTCAGCGTGTCCTTCAAAGCTTACACATCTCCGACTTATTCGGCTCGAAACTGGATTTTTCCACTTAATGACAACATCTCGGCACGGCACAAGCTAAGAGAATTTGGAAATCTCGTCTCTAGGAAGCTGCCTCGGAATCATTCTGCGGACGCATATCTATACTGGGATGCCGGCCATCTGCATCTTGGCGTGACAATGTTCGAGTCTTCCAACACTAAGCTCACCTCCACAACAACCATGCCCACGCCCGCATGTGTGGCGTGGGGACCAGAAAAGAATTTCAAGATTATGGATGGCGTCGGTCTGTTCGAGGCTGAGATGTACGTGTCCGTGATGCACGGCGGACATGTTGGCGGCAAAACTTCCTCATTCAAGCGATGCTTATTCTTAAAAGACATCGGAGGAAAGAACGTCGCCGACCGCTTAGTGGCGGCCATTGAGACTCGTCCCTCGCCACTGTGTTACCTCCATCTGCTGCAAGGCGGCGGAGCTGTCAGCGACATTGCGGCTGATGCCACTGCTTTCGGTTGTCGAGACTGGGATTTCGCCTGTGTAATAACCGGTGTTTGGCCCCGAGACCAAGATGACACTGAAGCAGCACGATCTGCCGTGCAGTGGGTTTACAATGTTGCCAGTGACTTGTTGTCTTTGAGTAGCGGAGCTTACGGCGCTGACCTTGGGCCGGATCCAAGAGACGCCGTGCTTGCGGCAAAGGCTTTCGGATCAAACCGACCGCGCTTAGCCCATCTCAAACACGTTTTTGACCCGCACAACGTGTTAGCTTACACCTGTCCACTCTTGGAAGCACCGATTCAGCAGAGACTTATCATTCTTGTAACGGGCGAAAGTTGTGCCGGCAAGGACTATTGCGCCGATGTCTGGGTTTCTGTGTTCATCCAAAAGAGTCTCAAAGCCCGTGCAGTTAGCATTAGCGAAGTCACCAAGCGAGAATACGCTGCGGCTACCGGTGCCAACCTGGACCGCCTGCTTCAGGACCGTGCCTACAAGGAGCAACACCGGCCAGCGTTGACGATTTTTTTCCAGGAGCAGGTGCGGCAACGGCCTCAGCTACCAGAGCAGCACTTCCTGAATGTTGTGCGCAGTAACCTTGATGTGGAGGTGTTGCTGATTACTGGGATGAGAGACGAGGCGCCGGTCGCAGCCTTCTCACATTTGGTGCCAGAGAGCAGGCTACTCGAGGTTCACGTGCAAGCTAGTGAACAAACCAGGCGGGTTCGCCGTAAAGGTGGTGACAGCCAGGAAAGCAGTGATAACAAGTCAAATTCGGCAACTTTGGATTACCAACCAGATCTCATTTTCGACAATGATACAAGCGGAAATGAGGCGGCGGAACGGTTTGCCGAACGTTACTTGCTTCGCTTTTTCGACAAGAGCCTGCAGCAACTGGCCAATATGGTGCGTGCGGTACCCAACTTCCAACGCCCGGGCATCGAGTTCCGCCATGTACTTGGCATCTCCCAGCAGCCGGGTGGGCTGGCTCTATGTACGTCTCTGCTGCAAAACCACTTCACTGGTAACTGGGCCAAGGTCGATGCAGTGGCGTGTTGTGAGGCCGGCGGCTTTATCTACGCGTCGGCATTAGCTTCACGAGTCGATGTGTCCTTGGTGCTAATTCGTGAAGCCGGAAAGCTCCCTCCGCCCACAATTTCCGTTAGGAAGCCTACGTCCCATATATCCTCTTTGGTACCGAGTCATTCGAACGAGAAGCGGATCGAGATGGAGAAAGATGTAATCCCTAGGGGCGCGTCGGTGGTATTGGTAGATGATGTGCTTGCTACGGGAGAGACGCTTTGTGCGGTGCTACAACTATTAGGTGAAGCTGGAATTGTCGCGGAGGATGTCACCATCATAGTTGTAGCCGAGTTTCCGGTCCATAGTGGTCGGGAAATGTTGCGCCGGCGTGGGTTTGGCAGAGCCAAAGTTCAAAGCCTTTTGGTTTTCGGCGGTGCGTAGAAAGGAAGGGGTCTTGAAGTTTAGAATTTGTGCTTAGGTAGAATGACGCAAGACCACGCTGTCATATCCAGAACTGGTTCGAGAAGCTGCTTCCCTGGATGCGAGAGAGCATCTAAAGTTGCGGGATGTTCAAGTTTTCGTGAAGGTCTTTAGAAGCCTGGAATACGCTTTACATGTAATGCATTTGTTCCTTTTCTTCCCTATCCCGCTGAAAGTTCCTACAGCATGTTGCAATTTGGATGGTATCAGAGGTTTGTGATATTTACGCGAAGCTTATGCATGCTATAAGCCGAGGCGGTCGGCTTGAGCTTAGGTTTATGCACAAAAGGGGATACGTCGGGCAAAATGACAGATATGATAGAGGATTCTGAGATTCTCTTTATCTGCGCCTAAGATTAGTATCCTCTCGAACACGTTTGTTATAGAAACCAATACTTACTACCCCTCGGTCGCGGCCTGCTGTCTTTTCGATTTTCTCCGCCTGCTACCCGATGAATGCGAAATGCCGCGACGTTTGGCAGCGCGTCTGCGCTCCACAGCCGTTCTGCTTCCGCCACGCTTTTTCTGCGAACGGTCTAAGCATTGATTGTTTTCGCTCTCGCTTTCAGCCGGCTCTTGTTCCATTATTCTTTCCCAAGATCTAGCCTCAGCAAACAGCTGTTCGCGCGTCTGTATCTCGGAGAGCCGTAAAGGCGACTGAAGCATTCGATAACGCAAGGCAGGTGTAAGCCGAGTAAATCAGAAGTCTATCTGTTCGCGTTGCTGGTCGTCCGGGCAAAAGTATGGGTACTCAAGCTGTTCTTCTATACCCCACATGAAACTCCGGTAGTCGTCAAACTTCTGATTCTCTCGCATAGTGCTTGTGTAGTAGGCGTGTGCTAGTTCGAAGCGGCGAAACAACGTCAGAGTAGCTTTACTTTGAAGAATTGTTTTGAATTCTTCCCAGAGTAAAGGCCCTTTTCCATTAGGACGCTTTACCCGAGACCAGACAGAGTCAAGGAGCATTTGCTGCGATTTGAGGCCTCCCATGGCCCACACACATCTTCGTTCTGTGTCGAACTTGTCCACGCCGTGCACATGGAAAGTCAACTCCACATACTCTAGTCACCGGTTTACCTTGTACCGTTTAGGACTGTTGAGTTTAGGCGGATCGGTCGTGACGAAATCATCAAAGGAATCTCTCTGCCGAAGCCATTTGTCGTGGCTTACGGTGGTAAAATTTAGCACGATGCCAGATACTGGGTGTGCTTCCGCTGTCATTTCAACAAGCCCGAACAGCGTCGGCTTTTAGAGGCTTGGAGATTAGGCTTCGCTGGTTAGGCCTAGGGAGTTGTTGACCGATGGGTGTAGATGAAGGGCTTGGTGTCGTGGGGTGTTTGGTGTTTGGTTGCTGCCAGGTTGTTTGTGTGTTGTCGGAATTTGTATGACATATTAGGGCCTGCGTGCTAGTTACTTACGCAGCAATGATCTACATGGTAAGGCCCACTTTCGTGAGCGAATAACCTCCGTCACCGTCAAGTGATATACACCGCCTATTTATATGATAATGACCCTTGTACGGAGTAGAAGCAGGATTATACTCTGTAGTAGTTATAATGTTTATAGTATACTTATACTTTAAGATCTGTTTAGTCTTATCTAGAATTTAGGCCTATAGCCTAACAAGGAGTAGTCCGTAGGGACTAATTATATCCTTCCCTTTCTCGCTAGATAGTAACTAACGTTACTCCGGAGGAGTACGTAGTAACATATATAATTCTAAAAACAAATTACTGGTACACGTCGCTGCGTGTCGTTGGTTGCTTAAGCGTATATGTGGTATGTAGTATAAATACTGCGGAGACTGGCGGCCTTGGCTGTGGCTGTGCAATGATGTCCACATTTAGGTGGATTAATCCACAGGGAGGAGTACCCAGTGGTAGTATATAAACAGACTAGAGCTAGCTTCTTGTCGTAGAACGTCGCAGAACATCGCAACTTTCCTCAAAATCTAAAATGGCAGCCGGATACGACTACGTGATTGTGGGCGGAGGGACAGCTGGCTTAGTTGTAGCCGCCCGGCTCAGCGAAGATGGTTCGAAATCAGTCGCAGTTATTGAGGCCGGTGCTAATCGCAAGGGGGACCCGCGAATCGACACGCCGGGGTTGTTGAAAACTTTGTATGGGGATCCAGACTATGACTGGAACTACATGACCGAACCACAGGTGAGTTTCGATCAATTAGCAACTCGATCACTAGGATTGCAACCATTCAAGGCTCTCAGACTAGAAATTAATTTGTTTAGGCTGAGCTTAACGGGCGGCAAATCGCATGTCCTCGGGGTCGAGTCCTTGGAGGTTCATCTGCGATAAACTTCTCTGCAATTTTGTATCCCAGCAAGAGCGACTTCAACGATTGGGCTAAACTTGCATGCGATAATGGCTGGAATGCTGAAAGCATGGCACCTTACCTAAGGAAGTTCCAAACTTTTCGGCCAGCTTCTGATGCGACCAAGAAACAACTCATGCTGGATGACTACATGGATGATAGCAATCAAGGAACAACCGGTCCCCTGAATGTAACCATCCCGGACGGCCATACTCCGTTCAACGAAGCATGGGTGCAGGGCTTTAAGGATCTCGGATTACACTCTCGTTCCGACCCAATCGAAGGTGAAGCTCTTGGATCTTTTACAAACCCGCTTTCGATCCATCCGGACAAGAAGACCAGAGAATACTCAGCTTCATCGTTTTTCACCGACGAGATTGAGAAACGGCCGAACCTTCATTTATTGGCTGAGTCTGTTGTTGAGAAGATCGATTTTGCTGATGACTCTCAACGCGCTACTGGAGTACAAATTATCCGCAAAGATAAATCGCGGGCTACTGTTCCTGTGAATGGTGAGGTTATTCTCGCAGCTGGAGCCATCCAGTCACCTCAGCTTCTCGAGCTCTCAGGAATCGGCAATGAGCAAATTCTGAAAAAACACGGCATCATGATCAAAATCGACAATCCCGGAGTCGGAGAGAACCTACAAGATCACTGCTTGTCGTCTATCAGTTATGAGATTGCAGACGACCAACTCTCCGCAGACAACGTTCAACGTGACCCAGCACTCTTGCAGGCCGTTCTCCAGATGTATCAAGAATCCAAAAGCGGCCCAATGGCGGGTGCCACGCTAAGTATTGCCTACCTTCCACCAGTGGACAAAGGCGGAAAACTTGACAGCGCGGAGCTTCAGAAGCTGGTCGAAGAAAACCTCGATCAGATTGCAACCTATCGAGATTTTCCGTCGAAGGAGAAGCAGTACAAGCTGTTACGAGGCAGGTTGCTGGATCCGCAAGCATCATCAGTTGAAATTTTCTGCTTGCCGATGCAGCTCAATACTGACACCAACGTAAACACGATGAAGCACTTCTTCGGCGGCAAGGAACCTGGGAACTACATTACAATTGTTGCCATGCTGAACCATCCTTTCTCTCGCGGAAACGTACACATCACTTCTGCTGATCCTCATACGGCTCCGGCTATTGATCCTCGATACCTATCGCATCCATTGGACGTTGAGTTACAAGCTCGTCACACTCAGTACCTCGAGCGACTGGTGGAAACGCCGACCATGCAACGCGTACTGAAGAAGGATGGCAGACGCATTCCCAGCGCAGATACCAGTGATCTAGACGTGGCGAGGCAAGTTGCTAGGGATCGAGCATTTACTTCCTTTCACCCCACTGGAACCTGTGCAATGATGCCTCGCGAGCTTGGAGGTGTCGTCGACAGTCGGCTCATGGTCTACGGCACTTCGAACGTAAGAGTTGTCGACGCAAGCATCTTCCCGCTTGAAACACTCGGAAATATTCAAGCCACGGTATATACTGTGGCAGAAAAGGCAGCGGACATCATAAAGGAAGATGCGATGAAGAGATAAAATAGAGAATTTCTACAATGGAGAATGTCTATAACCTTGCCACACGGCTGGAATGAAATTCGTTTATATCCAAATAAGCAAACATCCTATAAAGAGATATTCGAGACTTTTATTCCTCTAAATTTAGCTTATACCCACATTTATCGGCACTCCGGGGGTAACCCTAAAGGAAAAGCTACATTTAGTACCGTCCGTCACCGTTAACCGAGATTTACTATCTAGGGAGATAAAGAATAATTAAGTAGACCCTATAGAGCACTTCTATCTAGCTACAGGACAGAATCCTAGGTACAGGTAGGAAGATCTTCGAGTATTAAGGAAAAATATTAGCACGAGGGTTTGTTTGTCTGTCTATCTAGACACGGCCTTAAACTATAAATTTAGTCCGTAACGTAAAGCGTCCGTCACCGCAAAACGAGACTTACTACCTAGGAGATAACTATACGTGTACGGAGTAGAAGGGATATCTAGTTAAGGTGGTTATAAGTAGTTATATGGCTGAGGATCTCTGCACTTATATCTTAAAGGTGGATATGTAGCTGGGTGAGAAGTATTCTATAAGGACTACTTATATCGTCTCCTGTCTAGCTAGACGGTAGATCGCGGTTCGTAGTGATGGATACTAGATGGATATTAATCCTGTTACTACTATTTAGTAGTTCAAAGTAGATATTTTAAGTATTTGCGAGGATATTAGCGTAATATTGACCTTATTTGCTATTTATGTCGTTCTGGTAAAGACATTAAATATAACTTTAACGGTGTATTCTATCCGGAAGCTCCTGGGGCTGTCTATCTAAAGAAGGTACGTCCCCCGGCAACTCCCACCTTATGTCATTATCAACAGCCAACTCAGCTCCCGTGTTTCTACTTTATTGGCTCTGAAAGTAGTTCCTGAAATTGTACAGTGCTGGCCTTCTCTGGAGCAGCAATACGTCTTTTACGGCGATGGAGCTAAAGGACCAGAAGGACAGCAAGTGAAACCACCATGGTTATGCTACCAACTACTGTTCCTAAAATGATAGCAGTCCAGGATTTGTGCGTGCTTGAGGATGATACAGCACTCGATGATATTGTTGGATTCTTTGGAGGCGTTGCCGAAGAGTCCATCGGAGTCATTCTTGCAAAAAGTGCTCTAACAGTCTCCGATGTCCAGTTGGGCTCAGGATTCTTCGCATCAGCATACCAGCTTTTCACTTCTTTAGGGGACTCGTAAGCTGCAGCGGTAGCATTGTAGCGATCTTTCCATTCCATGGCCGTCAAGTCGAAGATCCCCAGCTCATGATCCCACGGGTCTTGCTCTTCCCAAACCAAAGTGTCGTTGACGACGCGATTGTATCCCCCGATAACAATGACCTGTCCGCCACCTACTGCATGGCAGGTATGACCTTTGCGCGGCGGTGTATTTGTTGGTCCTTTGAACCAGTGAAATGCTGGTAGGGATAGAACGTAGGAATCGTTATATAGCTCGCCCGCAGCCCGCAGCCATCCTCCGAATATGAATAGCTCATATGAGTTTTCGCCCCTAACACCGGCTAGGCAAAAGCTGTCCCGAATGCTTGGGGCTTCGCCTGTGGTAACTTGTAAATACCAGTTTCCGGTCGCGGTATCGTATATAGATAAGCTGCGAAAATCAATGTAGCCACCTTTGTTGGTTATGGATGTTCGGCTTCCGCTTTCACCGCCGACTAAAACAAGCAGTCCTTCCGCAAAAGGAACTTCTGCCGCTTGTCCGAATATTCCAGTTCCATATTGGTTCCATCGTTCTGTCGATTTGTTATTCCACTGGCTCGTGGAGAAATTGTATGACACAACACCTGGAACAGGAATAATATCTGCGGTCTCGAAGCCCACATTGTCTCAATACATGTTGAACAAGCCCCTGACATAGTAACCTGCTCCGTCCACGGTAGTGCTGTATCCGCTCACGGGCCACGTGAGCTGTTGGAAAGTATCCGTATCCGGCTGCCGTGTCCACTTTCCTCCCCCCTTCCCATCGCAAGTAAATTTCCAAAAGCTTTTTTGTGGAACCATAGACCCGGCAGGCACTTCGCCAGTCCAAGAGTAGAAAGAACCAGAGCTTTCATCGGGCCAGTGAGAGCAGTGGAAAAAAGGAGGGGAGCCATCGTTGTCGATAGAAGAAACATTGACTGTAGTGTTGGTCCATGATGTGCGCATATCGATGGAGAGAGTCTTTGTATTCAAAGACAAGTTGGAAAACTGTCCATTGACTCGTTGAGCTTGAAGGCCGCCATCGATATAGACAAAGTCCCCTATGACAATAGAACCGTGTAAAGCGACACGTACAGACTCTGCCATCTTTAGATATTGATAAATCCATCAGAGGAAGAGATGTATAGATTAAAAGTGCTACAAAACCCAGTGCGAGGATAGGATCTATAGCGAGAGGGAAATGGATGGCCTAATTACATAGTCTGCACCGGCAATCAGCCGATACTTAGGCTTAAATTATGCCTGTTGTTGGTGTTACATTTGAGGCTGATTTTCACCGGAATGCATTCCAAACGCTGAAACCCTTGCTTTATAAAATGTTGCTTGAGAGTAATACAAAGGAGGAATGAAACTTATTCAAAGAACCAAGTAGCATAACTAAGACCTTAGTGACGAAAAGCCAAGTTGATACATGCTATTCAATGTATGACAGGCCTGATATCGTGTATAGTTCTTTGTCATCTCCTTTTCAGCTCGTACCTCTCCGCTCCCTGGTTCCGACAGCACAAACCCCTCGCTTTAGCCGCATACGTTTAGCACCACGTCAGGCTTCATGCGATAAATGCTGAATCGCCTCAAATGTATGATCCCGTCGCACTTTTGAAGCTCAGATATGCCATCTAAGGTTATGGCATTGTTGTGTTGACGGGGTGTTTCGCCTTTTCCTTGCGGCTTTCAGAAAGCCACCCCTGCTTGCGACCCGGAGCCGCAAACTGCCCGGAATTCTTCGATAGTATGTAGTAACACTTTTACACATATACGAACACGGTTTCGATATTAAGTTTCAGCCAAGCTCTTTTGCAATCCCCTCACTTGACCGTACCTCTCACAAATCTTACGAATAACGGTTTAGTGCTATTTGCCTTATCAATATTTCACTACGCCAGCCGCAACACCCGTTGGTGTCACACCAGCAATGACACCCGCTCACAGCGCAACTATGTGTGCACGCGATCACCTGAGTGTTCTGTCTACATACGTCGAATGCTTACCCATAATCTTCCTACTTTCGTGCTCACCGACCCACTACCCGGAACCTTGGTCCGCCTACTTAGCCTGATTCTCCTACTCAGATCTTGTCGAGTAGATTCCTTCATAGTTATCTAGACTTTCTGCGTCTTACGAGACAGCGATGGTTGTATAGAATAGCAGAAGAAATCTAGTTAAAATATATTAGTACATGTATGCTCAAGTCAAATCACACCAGCAGCTCTTCAGCAGCGGAGACAAGACACAATTATTCGATTCCTCCACCAGCCGAGTCAGCGGTCCAATCGAGCCAACTACTTAGACATTTTGTGTGTGTGTGTCGCCAGCGACTATAACAGGTTAATTAAGCAAGCAAAGCAAGCAGCGTACTGAGAGGAAAGATCGAACCCAAAAAAGCGACAGCAAACCAAGAAAACAAAAGCAGAAAACAAAGACCAAAGAACGCTGCTCCGAGAAATAGGGACTATAAGAGTAGTGTCGCCGGAGGGTATAACCAAGAACGCCGTCGCCCATCATCACTAAGTAGGTAGTAAAGATCATGTGCCCTCCAACTTGTCCCAACAAAAGGTCATGAGGTACCCGAAACATAAAACAGAAAGAAAAGAACGCATCGCATCTAACGCTCACGCGCACAAACCCTCCCAAACAGATTGCACTAGGTAAATATATCCCCTCTCTTTTATCTCGCTCAGATTAGCTCCGCTAACCTCTCGGTGGGGCAGCATACACCATCCCACCCTCCCTTTCATAGGCGCCGCCGCTCCCGGGGCCGGCCCAGCGCCTTGCGCTCTCCTCACGGTCGCGCATCTCGCGCTCATTCTGGACCACGCTGCAGCAGCAACAGCAGCACGACTTTGCAATGTCGGAGAACAGGGAGCCTTGTAAGCCGTAGGCGTGGCGGAGGCGCGTGCGGTGGATTAGGGGGAAAATGCCTATAGGGGAGAGGGGTTAGTGAGGTGCTAGTGAGGGGTTTGGTGGTGGTGGTCGCGATAGGCGGTGATCTGACCACGACGCAGCGCGCAGATCCGCAAAGCAAGGGTCAAGGGGAAAAGAAGTCGGGGACGAGAGAGGAGAAAAAGCACATACCACAAGCACCACACAACCCCGCCAACGCCATCGCCGCACACTTCCCACCAAACCAACTCCACCCGAGCAAGTCGGTCGGATCTTTCTTCTCGCTCTTTAGGTTGAGCCGGTAGCTCGTCTTCCCGTACACTACGCACGGGCAAAACACGCCCGACAGGCAGGTTCCCACGTCCCCGCTGCACGGCTCGCACAGCGAGTGCTTCCACTCGTGCTTGGACCCTGACGAGCCCGAGAGGTCCATGTTCGGGTGCGCGATCTGGCCTGGCTGGTGCGAGTGCGTGAGCTGCCCGTTCGGGCCGGCTGCCGCGTCGGGGGAGAAGATGGGGCGTGATTGCTGCGGCGCCGTCGGCGGGGGATCGTAATAAGGAATCTGCGCGGGCGAGCCCGGCGCGTTGGGCATTGGCTGATGGTATTTCGCCTCGTTGTCGCTCTCCGTCTTCAGCGGCACAGGCCCCGGCGACCCAGGCGGCTGCAGCTGTTGCGAGTGTCGCCGCGGCGTCACCTGCGGCGGAGGTGTCAACATGCCAGGCTGCGACTGCGACCGCGGCGGCGTCATCGGCCCCTGCCCCGACGCATATGAATACCGCTGACTATTCCGGTGCAGCGATTGTACCGGCGTCTGCGGCAGCGACATGCTCGCCCGCGCCAGATGGGCCGTCGGCACCGGGTCGATGGGTGCAAACAGCGCCGGGTGTGGTTCCGGCGGCGGCGCGCGTTTGTATTCCTCTGGCAGCTGCGCATGGGACGACCCGCCAGCTGCGGGGTGTTCGCCCGGTCCTATTCCCATCTCCTTCTCCAGCGGAAAGTACGGCTCCAACGGCAGCGGCGCCGTGGGCGTTATAGCTGACATGTCGCCAAACTCGGTCGAGGCAGGCGAGCGCGAGTCGCTGGGCCAAACGGGCGATTGATGATGCGTGGTTATGGGCTCGGTGTGGTGGCGGACGGGCGGTGGCGGGAAGGTGGGCTGCTGCATTTCTATCGGCGTCTGCATGATCGAGTAGCGGGCGTCGGGAGCCATCATGGTTGGCGGCGGGTGTGGCACCGACGAGGCTTGCTGCAAGGCATATCGCGGGTCGGGCGAAACGGGTGCGGGGTCGACATGGTGAAGCGGCTGACGCTCCTGGTCGGTAAAGGGCAGCTGCCACGAGAAGCGTTGTGGGTGGTGGTGGTGTGAGGACTGGTGCTGGTGGTGGTCCTGGTCTTGGTAGTGGTGTTGGTCGTAGTATCGTCGCGACGGGCTGTCCATGATGGCGCACGGTCTGCAGGACGACTGTAGTGGAAAGGATGATCGCGGCAACAAGCAGGAGCGAAGGAATTGAAGGAAGAAACTTTATGAGAGCTCCTGTGAGTGACGTGAGAGCCCAAGAGCTGAATCGGGGCTGTGGCTGAGATGCAGTGTAAAATAAGGTAGTAAGCGCTAGAAGGGAAAAAAGAGCGATCGATGAGACGAGCGAGCGACAGGACAAGAAAGCCAAAAAGCAAGGCAAAAGATCTCAAGGCAAAGCTCGTAACTGGGCGGCGCGGCGAATATAGCTGCACAGCCATCGGGCGAGACCCCAGCAGGCTAGAGCGCGCGCGATTGGGCGGCGACATGGCAGAGAGCGTTGAGTGGCTGGCGAGCCAAGCGGCTTGCATGAAGATCCGTGGGGCTGAGCGCTTAGAGGCGCCCGACACTCCGGCCATCTCAATTCCCCGGCTGCCATCGACGTGCGCTCAACGCGTAATCCGTGTTCTAGCCGCAATATCTACCTATCACAATCACCCTTAACGGTCCCTCTCCGCACGGCTCTCCTCCTCCACCGTCTTCAACAGCGCCGCCTGCTCCCTCCTGACCCAGTCCCAGTACACCTGCCACGCCTTGACGTTCGGGTCCTCGGACCCCGCCGTCTCAATTCCCCCGACGCTCAGGTTCTTGTTGATGTCCAGCGACACCTTGGCTACGCCTCGAGCGCTCTTCTCAATCTTCTCAATCTCCTGCTTGACCGCGTTCTCCTTGGGCTTCGTCGCTATCACCGTCTTGAAGTGGTCCGCGATGCTTCCGAGCCGCAGCTTCGTCTCGTCCGGCGCCAGATGCACCAGCTTCGTCAGCATCAGATTGCAAAGCGTGCGCACATCGTGGTCGTCGATGATGCCCGCAATGATGCGTTCGCTGAAGTCGGGAATGTTCAAACGAGCGACGGCAGTATCCAGCAGCGTGTAGAGCGTCTCGTAAGCACCCTTGCGCACTTCGAGGCCATCGTCGACCTTGTGCTTGAACGGGCCCATCTGCACCTCGCGAATGAGCTCGGGCTTGATGACCGTCCGGTCCATGACGAGCGGCAACAGCTCCTGCAGCTGCGGCAACACCAGCTCGGGCTTGTTGTGCACAGCCGAACTCATGGTCGTGAGAGCAAGGCGCTGGTTGTCCAAGTCCGAATCCCTGAGCATGGTCGTGAGCATTGGAATGACCATCGGGCGAAGGACGTCGTCGTAGGTCTCGTCCGTATCCGCAAACGTGTAGCGGAGGGCCGAAATGACCATGGCCCGAGTTCCAGCATCCGTGTTACCCAAGAATTCCTAAACAGGGTCAACATACGTGAGCTCTATGTGAAAAATGAGGTGCTTACCTGTAACTGCGGGAGGAAGGTCTTCGGATCAATGATCGTGAGCCTTCCAATGCACTCCGCGCCAATAGCTCTGTTATCCTCAAGCTGCGATGCCTTGAGGATCTGCTGCCAAAGGTCCTGCGCAAAAGGAAGCAAATCCGCGTCCGCACTTCTGTGCTGAAGAATCTCCCGAATCGAGTGGAGCAAGAGATACTGCTTGGCAGACGCCTGGCTCATCGTAGACACAATGAAAGGCAGGTACGTCTTGGGGTTGCCAGTACCAGCTCTGCCGAGTGCAACGGCGGCAGCCAACGGCACTTGGTCTTTGCCCTCGAAACGGGTTACAAAGAGCTGAGGTTCGAGCGGGGAGGACTGGCCCATCCGGAGGCCAGCTTCACCTAGAACGGCCAGAGCCAGACACTGTCGCTTGGAGTCTGCAGCGGTGTTGAGCTCCTTGACAAAGTCATCCACCTTCACTTGGATGCCTGACGTGCTGTAGACAAGAAGAGTGCCGACTACCTTTCCGATGAGATCGGGGTTTCCTGCAACACCGACTTCACGCAGAAGCGAATTCATCAGAGGACCGCCAGCGTTCTTCTCCGCAATGGCCTTGACCAAGGTAAGAAGAGCATCGAGCGCAGTGCCACTGACGTTGGCTTGAACCACACCCTTCAGGGCGTCGACCAACTCCTGGTTAACAACACTGCTGGGATCGTTTGAGACAAAGGTGGCCAGAATGATGAGGGCAGGGCCCATAAGATGCAAGTCGTTGCTCTTGATCGGGGTAATCAGCATGTTTTCAATCTCGTTGCTCGTCTTGCCGTCAAGGTGCGAGCGGGTCACAGGGTTGATGACAATGGTTCTCAAAGCAATCAAGCTGGCGCCGCGAAGCGACCGGCTGGCCTTGCGCAATTGGGCACTAAGCTCAAGCGCAACATCCCTCACCCATTCCGATGAGAACTCTGCGCTGTTTTGCGATAGGCCGGCGGCAACCTCGATCGCACGCACCGAGGCGAGACGCGTGACTTCGTTCTTGAGGCGATCAGAAAGGAGCTGGAGACCCTCCGTCCTCTTCGATTGCGAAATGAAAGCTTCCGATCCAGAGCTGCGGCCCAATAGAAGACCCAGGACGTGTAACGCGCGGCGTCGTGCTTCGACATCAGCTTCATTGGCAGAGATACGGTTGGTAAGGATGTCGAAGAGCTGCTCAAGGTACGCTTTGTTCTCTATGCTTCCAGCCTCCGTCCTCGGCGGAGTCAAGTCCTTAACGAACCCTTCAGTAGCCGCAAGTGCCTCGGAAGACACTTTGCTGTATCGCTCCTTGGACGCAGTCTCGAGAGTCGGTACAATCTTCGACAGATAAGGTTGCAATAACTCGGCAGAGTGGGTCTCGGCGATGGCCTGTAGAAGCTGCAGTGCAACAATCCGAAGAGTGGTGGCGGTAGCGGATGAAGCACCAGACCCACCCGTCTGGTTGCTGGTGGCTTTGGCTGCTTCGACGACAGGTTCGACAATCTGATCAACGTAGGCTGTAAGCCCACCGCCCTGCGTGATGACAACATCCTTCAGCAGCGAGATGGTTGCCTGCTTGGTGGGAAGAGTCCCAGACTTCAGAAGCGGGACGATTCCTCGCACAATGTCAGGAACCAATTTCGCCAGGCTCTCTTGTGGTCCGGAGAAAGGTTGGCTATCCAGGCTCGCCGCAGTGATACCCGCGTACAACGAAGCGTTAGTGTTCAAGTCGAACATGCTCGCGTCGCTGCCAACCCGTCTCCTCTTGCGGGACGGTGGTGGACCCATGAGCCCCAAATTGGATGCCTCCCGGTTCACACGAGCTGAAGATAAGACGTCTGGCTTCGATTGCTGCACAAGGTGAGCGAGCGTCCCCAAGACTTCCAAACGCACGCTCTCCTCCCTATCTTTGAAACGCGGTATGAGAGCGGGCGCAACCCGTTGGTACAAAGTTCCATCATCCAGCAAGTCGCCATGGCTGCGCGTGGAGATGAGCGCATTCAAGACCTTGGAAGCGCACCGGCGAACCTTCCAGCTGCCGTCGTCTTCATCATCGAAACCTGCTTCTTCCTCAAAGTCTTCGTCTTCGAGATCAACATCGTCGTCATCCTCTGCATCCATGTCCTCATCGTCCTCATCCGTGGCCAAGTTCGGGTCGTATTTCAAGAAGCGAATGCCAGCGTCAATGCTTTCTTCGGTAAAAACGCGCATCTCCTGGGAGCAGGATGTCAAGAAGCTCTCGAGCGCGACCAGAGCAGCCTCGTGAACTTCGTCGGTCTCGGGATCGCGTTCCTCCTCGCCATCCCAAGCCTCCATCTCTTCCTTGAGCTCACTTTCGCTCAAAGCACTCAACACAAACGGGGCGAGGGTCTTGAGGTAAGGGCCGAACTTCTTGGGGGTCGCGCGAGCCATGGATCCAAGGATCGTGATATGGAGCTTCCGCTGAACCCGCGTCAAGTGCGCCTGCCTCATGTTTTCAATAAAACGGGAGATGACGGCGCTCAGAGTCTGGTCTGAAAAGTGCACCGCCAGCGTGGACATGGCAGCAACCGCCTTCTTCTTGAGAACAGAGCCGGCCTTTTCGCTCTGGATGATTTGCAACACCACATTCTGCAGTGCAACAAGCTCAGCTTCTTGCAGCATTATTCCAAAACACCTAGCAATCTCGATGAGTACATCGATGGCGGTGCTGTCCGTCCCCTTCTCTATGTCTTCCTCCAGCATACCCTTCTGCGATGTGCGTCCAGACGCCGAGCCGATGAGCCTGGGTATCAATGTCTTGCTGACGGACATGTATGCGTTCGCGACTGCCGGGGTGCGGGGAACACCGGCCACAGGCTTGGGGAGGGATACGACGATGGTGCGGAGGGCGAGAGCCGGGACCGAGCTGTCGACCGACTTTTCCGTGGAAATGGTGGAGATGCGCTCAATGGTAGCCGACAGGACAGTGTCTGGTGCCTTGTTGACAAAAGGGCCCAGACACCTGACGGCCTGGTTCTGGACATCTCCGTTGGTGTCGTTGAGGGTGTCGATCAGGCCGTCAAGGATCTTGCTAGCACCACTGTAATCGTGGGTGAGGAAGCTGGGGTGGCCGTTGACCATGAGCTGGTGCAGGTCATTGAGAGCCATGTAGCGCAGGTCGGGATCATTGTCGGTGAGCTTGCGGCAGAGGCGGCCGACGTCAGCGGTCGGGGCCGACATGGCTGCGGGGGTCGAGAGAAGGTGGAGGAGGGGTCGAGGCAGGCGTTTGTTGCCGTTGAGGGTTAGAGCAGATGGAGTGGTTTCGTCGCGGGGGAGGAAGAGGAGCCGCAGACGGAAGGTAGAGGTGGAATGAAGCGCAGCGGGTGGCGGGAAAGGAGGAAAAGAAAAGGGCGGCGGCAGGCAACAACAGAGCAGCTCGATGTTCCAGTGGGGTTGTGGTGTTGCAAGCGCAGTGACGATGGAGCTTCCGGGGCGGCCCAAGCTCGTCGGCGCCAAGCTCGCTAAGCGGGCAAGATGACATGATGTGACGAAGGTACCGAGGGCGCAAGACCTCCAAAGACCTGCCTTCTCCAGCTTTTGCCGAGCCATCCATCCACCCCGTCTTCCCTCAATCGCATCTCCACTCAGCCCAATTGCTGGCTTTCCCCTTTCAATTCTTCAAAAATGCCCTTCCCCAGGTCCACTGCCTTCCGCTTCGTCTCGCAGGCTGCTCGTCCGGCCGCCCGCTCGAGCTTCCGCAGCGCCGGCGCCGCATGGCAGCGCACCTCGCAGCAGGGCGCTCGCCGCTACGCCAGCTCCTCTGGCCACTCGCACCAGGCCGGCAGTGATGTCCCTTGGTATGTGACCGCCGTTCAACTCTCTCGATGCGCATTGCGATTTCGGCGCAAATTCGCTTCGGCATGCGTGCGGCACGGCCGGCCTTTGTCGCATCGGATCTTCACCCGCACCAATGCCCATTGACCATGCCCGCTAACACGTCTTGCTGTGCAGGGCCATCGGTGCCACCGTCGTGACCATCCCCGGTGTCTGGTACATGCTCCAGCCCGGTGCTGACCACGGTCACCACGAGGAGCACGCGAAGCACGAGGAGAAGCACGAGGAGCCCGAGGAGGAGCCCGAGGAGGCCCCCAAGGAGGAGTCTGCGCCTGAGGACAAGCAGGTCCCCAAGGTGTCCGAGACCGAGGGTAAGGACCAGGTCTCCAACAAGGAGAGCGACGAGCTCCAGAAGCCCCAGAACCAGGACACTCCCGAGGGTGAGTCCAAGAGCAAGGATGAGTCCCACATGACCTCGACGCCCGACAACAAGGGCAGCGTCGAGGGCGTCCGCTTCAAGGGCTCCACCAACCAGGGTGACTCTGACAACGCCGCCGAGGACACCCGTTCTCACGTCCCCGATGCCAAGGGTGGCGCGAAGAAGCGCATCGACAGCGGCTACGGCACTCCCATTGGCTCCGAGTCGGCCGAGAGGGATGCCAAGGGCTCCTCGAAGGACAAGGTGAGCTGCCACTTTGTTGGTGCTTGAGCGTAAACTCACTTTCGACAGGCCGCCTCTTCCAAGGAGAGCCTCAGCCAGAACCAGCAGTCTGGCAAGCAGGAGGGCCTTAGCAACACCGACACCAAGCACAGCACCGACCCTGTCAGCGACCCCAACAAGAGCACCAAGGGCGAGGGCACCGCCGAGACCGCCAAGGTCAAGGGCACCGTCTCTCCCAACAGGCCTTCTGTAAGTTGTCCTCGACCACAAGCGCCGAGCTAGCCTAACTGACCGTCGTAGGCGGACAACAAGGAGGAGCGCAAGTCCGAGAACGCATAAATTCCCTAATTCGTCTTGTTTTTCCTTGCATGAAGCACGAGAAGAACGTAGACATGCCATAATGCCAGCCGAGACAGATAGCAGCGTAGACGGCTTGTACATTTGACGCCTCCGCAAAAGCTACTCCGGTTTGTGCACTTTTCGATAGCGCCGCAATGTACCATTTTTCCATTATTCACCTACTGACTGGATCGAGACTACTGATTGATAAACTGATAAGCACGCGATGAGTTTCAGAAAGCCGTAGCGTCTCAACACCATTCCCTCATTCACCTAATGTCGCAGCAATCGAACACCTAACTAGATACAGGGAAACTCGGGACGAATGCATAAATCTAATCGAGCCGTCAGCTGCCATGCCGGCAAATAGACAGATTCTCAGCCACGCAGCCCCACCACGACGCACCCCACACGTCCGCACGCACGTATCCGGATCAAGCGCCGCGCCTCACGGGACGACGGCGGTGGCTCTGGGCCAAACGGGTAACGTCTCACGCTGTGACGGGCCGCGCCAAAATCAGCAGCCGCGCACTTATTTCTCGTCATCGAATCGCATCCGCAGGGGGACTTCTGCCCAAGGTTCCAGCCGGCCAGCCGGCGTGCCAGGCAAGCGCACATAGTGCCTCACTTCAGACCGCGTCGCGTCGCGTTGCATCGGCTCGGCGTGGCTGCTGATTGCTGCTATTGTTGTCGCTGGACGATGGTTGCTGCTGCCTGGTGCCTGGGCGCGCATTGTGTGCCTCGCGCGGCGGCATGGCGCCTATCGCAGCGCAAGGCCGCGCCGAGGCGAGTCGCGTTTGGCGGCGATCGCCCGTGGAGTGACGACTGACTAGCTAGGTAGCTGCCGAGCGAGCGAATACAATTCTACGGAGGCTGGTGCCCGCCGTCTCGTCTCGGGCGGGACAAGGCTGTGCCTCGGCAGGGGCAGGGGCAGGGGCAGGGGGTAGGGGGCAGTGCTGCGCTGTGCTGTGGTGCTTGCGATAGCGATTGCGATCGCTCGAGTGCGGAGCGGGTGACGGTGATGGACGGACGGGGTGGTGGATGTGCAGAGTGCAGAGCGCAGAGCGCAGGCAGCCTGCTCTAAAGATAGACGGCACCCGCGTACCTACATGGCCAGGTTTTCTGCCTGACAGCTGCCTGGGCGCGGCGCTGGATGAGGTAGCCGTGCATGCCACGGGCGCCCGAAAGGGTAGGTTGGTATTCGGGCAGC